ATTTACTGATAAAAGAATGTGCTGATCCTGTTAAAGAGATAGTAAGAGAAGTGTATGGTGATTCATACAGATCGGAAAGAGATCCAAAATTTTTTTAAGACAGAGCAATTCTTAGCCCGAGAAATGCAGACGTGGGATTAATAAACGAATACATGTTGTCAGAAATAAAAGGTAAACATATTTAACGCTTTATACATACGATCTTACACATTAACTTCATAATGCGATCAAGTGAACTTCGTAAAACATTTTTTTTAGCTGAGGAACATACATATTTAAGCTCGGACAGCATCGATACTTCTGATAAGGGCAAGATTGACGAGAAAGTTTACACACATAAATATCTTAATAGTATTAAGATTTCAGGATTGCCAAACCATGAATTGAAATTGAAAATAAGGACACCTATTATGTTGCTTCAGAATATTGACCCTAGAGGTGATTTATGCAATGGAACAAGACTCTTGGTAATACAATTGGCCAAACATGTTATTCAAGCTAGCCACATAACTGGAGAATATATTGGTCAAAAGGTCTTGATCCCACAAATGTTTGTTTCCCCCACAGAGACAATATTTCCTTTTAGAATGAGGCGTAGATAATTTCCGGTAGCTATCGCCTATGCAATGACTATCAATAAAAGTCAAAGACAGACTTTGCAAAAGGTTGGCCTATATTTACCAAAACCAATATTTTTCCATGGACAACTTTATGTAGCTATATCACGTGTTACTTCAAAAGCTGGTTTGAAGATTAATCTGATAACGAATACAATGGATCAGCCACAAACCAAGACTTTTGAACGTTGTATACAAAGCCGTCTTTCAGAATGTAAGGAAACAATAGTTTTTTTTTTAAGGTTTAGAGTTTTACTATTTTAATGGTTTATTTAATTATTTATTAAATGATATTTTAGTTTACGTATCCTTTTCTTTAATGATTGTCCTCATTGTCGAGAATCAAACATAAAACAAATAGAATACAAGATAATAATGGTGTTTGCAGAATTAATGAATTTTAAAAAAATATATAATTATCCAACTAATCAATCTGATGACTATGAATGCTCTTCCAAAATTAAAAGTTTTTATAATACATTAGCGTTTTAATATTATAAAAAAAAATTAAGTACTCAACTTTATGGACCTCACTAACCCGCGCATCGCGGATCCCCACCTAGTAAAAAGTAAAAACCTCGCAATCATGCAACTCATAAAAAAGATTTAGTTCATACAATCATCATCATTTTTTTATATAAAAGACATAATTTATTTTTTCAACAAGAAGAGACGTAATTTATATGCTATCATACACTTATGTCATTTTTGTATTGTTAAAGATCTCACACTCGAATTCAAGGGGGTAAAAGAAAACACAAAAGAGTTGCAAAAAGTTGAAGCATTTACAGCGAAAACCACTGGTTACGTCTCAATATATAAGAAATATAGAAAAAAATCAAGCAGAAGCAAATAACAAACGAGGGAATTATGAAACAGAAGGAAAGGGTCATCATCTTCATTGTCTTCCCTTTCGGCTCCATGAAGGAAAGCAGCAACCCTGCACATCACGGTTTACAACGAACGTTAAGCTCAATAAGACAGATAACCAAACTTGTATGATGTTTGATATAGGGCAGGTGATATTTTCGTATAATAAAAGAGTTAAAATCACCCTGATTTTGCAAAGATTCCATTAATCATCATTGGATCTTTGGTCCATAACATTTTCGTGTCAAAATCAGACCAGGTTAATTTAGTTATTTTCCTAACATTGAGTTTCGTTCGTTTTTAGTTTTCTTGTGTATATCTGGCATACTAATTTGTAAGTGATAAAATCCCTAATACATAAGAAAAAATATGTAAAACAGTTATTATAAAAAAAAAAAACATATGAAAATAACACTATAAATATATAATAATGTACAATTCTACACGGTTTAATTAGTCTTGTCCTACGCTATTTGTTATAGAACGAATATAAAGGATATTAGCTTCGCTCTTGGCAATGAATTTGATCAAGGCCAATTTTTTAATAAGATTGTATGCGAAACTTTAATGAGATTTTGAACCAATGCAACAAAATCTACATATCAATTATCACAAGAATATATGAATATATGGTGACCACATTTTTTCAAGATGGAGACTACCTTTGATGTGTAATTTAGATTAACTTGCAAGATAAGAATGTGCAAGAAAATTTGGTTGGTTGATATGTAAATTAAACGATAAAAATCCATTCTTGTGATAATTGATATAGAGATTTGGTTGCATTGGTTCAATCTTATTAAAGTTTCGCATACAATCCAAACGAATACAAACCTTGGGACTAGAAGGCAGCGGTTGATGATGTTGGTCGTAAATGGGTCGAGTCGGGGTGCTATGAGCGGTTCCATTGTAAGACCTCAAAGCCCCACTTTGTTTCTTGTCTTCCTTCACTTTGTCAAAGATGAGTGTGTAACTCTGATTCTGATCCGAACCCGATCCAGGAAACGGTGGAATAGTTGCGACCTTGTTGAAAAAAAAAGAAAGATATACATTTATTTTATATTTATGAATCGTGACACATGTCTTGGTAAATATGACATCGAATGAATCTATGAGAGTATAATGAAACACGATATAGAAAACATTCTTGATCGATTCATGAATGCTTGTTTAATAAAAGAAGAGCGTAAAAAAAGTCAATACCCTTTCACTGCTTCGACCTCTAAGATTGCGAATTGGCCTAGGTTGCACCGGTGGAGGAGGAGGATCATATGGTTGCCGTCTATTTGTTTGCGATGGATTTCCGAATTTACATCCACCACCATATGATTGATGATGGTTGTACGTTTCAGGTGTTGGAGGAGCTCTGACTCTGTTGTTTCTTTCACTGTGTGCAGGAGATGGCTCGAAAGGTCTGAGTTCTGTTTCGTCTCTGCTACTGAATCTTTCATGTCTTGGTTTTACATTGTGGTTTGGTGGCTGGACGTGTCCATTATGGTTTCGATTTTGTGAATGGTTTGGGTTCATTTCTGGATACTCTCTGGGGTTAGACATGTTTGTTGTATCTTTCTTGCTCCTGCTCGCTTTCTCGAACACGTGCGTGAATGGAGTATCTTCAGTCCAGTTTCCGAATTTTGGCACGTTTTGACGGTTCGGTAACTACAAGACAAAAAGAAAGGTTTTAGAGACTTGCATTTGAATTGTAAGCCAGAGAAATTACTTTTTTTTTTTTAGAAAATTATGAATATTCTCATATGAATGAACATAATATTGTATATCACTGAGGGTTCTTATTGTATATAAAACTTTCTTTCTGGTAAATTTTAGAGCTGAGATTGAAGGCACAAGAGAAACATAGAAACTCTATGGATGCTAATCATTATGATTGATACTATATTAGTATTACTATAAGAACGAATTTGGATGTGATGTTCATACACACCAAAAAGAAAAAATGTCAACGGAGTCAAACAGGAAAATCTCGTGATCATGCAGGTTCTAAAACCTTCACATCGTAAACATGTAAAGATACTAAAAAACTCTACCAACAAATATGATAATATACTATCCATTCAACAAATTAAAGTAAAACACAGAGAGAGATGGTGGAAACAAAATTTTAAAAAAAAAGTACTCCATAAAAGAAAAATACTGCAGGCCATTAACATAAAAACGGACTTACTGCCATGCTTCTGAATTTCCAGCAGCCAGAAAAGAAGAAATGCTCTAATGGCTCTGAATCAGAAAGAGATTATTTGGAGAGAGAGAGAGGAAGAGATATAAAGAGACGTGTATACACGAAAGCGTTGACAATTCATCAACGTTGACTCGTCTTTCTTGTGGTTGGATAAACTGACGACTCCTTCTACGCTGACTTATCTCTTCGTTGCATTTTAATGATTAATGAAGAATATGTCCAACATACGACGCCCTTCATGCGTGTTTAGATATAAAAAACTGACGTCAATTTCTGCAATTATGTATTAACCAACTGAACAAAAAAGTTTGGATTAAATCACCAATCTTTGACCACATAATGACATTATTCTTAATTTATTTGATACTTGAGAAAATTTGATAATATTTAACGGCATACCCATAACATCATCTAGTTTGGTTTATTTCGAAAAAAATATCAGTTTGCCTTACAATTTTTCTGAAATTGTTCCTAAAACGCAACTTGGATGCAACTTTACTAGAGACTAACTCCTATATTCAATTTTCCCTGACAAAACAAAAGTTGGATGCAACTTTAGTTAGAGACTAATTCGTCATCTCTCTCTAAAGTAAAGCAAAAAAGAAAAATTTTACGTCTGGCAAAAGCAAGTGCAAAAGGCATGAGTAGTATACTTTTAGAGTAGAGTTCACTCTTAAACTTGAGATTTTACATTATTACACAATTAATCACAGCCATTGATCTTGCTCTCTCTCTCTCTCTCTCTCTCTAGATTAGTAAACAACATTTCGACGACCTTTATGCTTTTGTACTGAACTCCTCTCAGATCTTTCTTCACTCTTCAGTGTTTCATCTCTCCTACTGAAACACCGATAAGCCTTCTTTGATTTCTTGACTTCATTTCTTCTTGGTCCTCCCCATTTTTATGATTTCCTGGTGGTATCAGGAATGAGTGATCTGTCTTAGCCCACCTATCATTGAAAAAGCAAATGGGATTTAGATAATTCGCTGTTTTCTCCTCTTCGTCCTCGGATCTGGGTTTTGGTTTTTTAAGTTCATACCCAAGTAGAAAACAGAAGACGAGAGTTTGGAATTAGTGTTTAGAGTTTACCTCCTTCGTGAATTGTGGTAAAGGAAGAAACTTTTTGGGGTGTTGGGGAAATCGGAGATGATTCAGCTACTGTTTATGGTGCTATTTGTAGAGGGTGCTATTGCATTCTTATTGCTGATTAAGATTGGTCCTTTGAGGGAGCTTGTGATTAAAAGCCTTGACCAGCTGAAGATGGGGAAAGGTCCTGCCACTGTGAAAACCATCGCTGGAACCATGTCTGTTATACTCTTCTCCAACTTCATGAGCATCGTCAAGATCCAGAACAAAGGTGCAAAGCTCGGCACAATGTCTCCCATGGATCAGGTCCTTTGGAGAACTCACTTGCTTGAAGCTTCTCTAATGGGTCAGTGTCTTTCTTCTTCTTTTTGCTTCTAGGTAGAACCATATGCCTTTGTTTGTGTATATTTCAGTTGATTGTTGCTTTAATTGGTCGGTCACCTGTAGAAAATTTAGCTGTTGGCCTCAAGATTAGTTGTTTGCTATGGTCTCTGAACAAAATTTGAAATCTTGGCTGGATTTTGTGCTGATAATCTAGTTGTGTTTCCTTGGTCCATGGGTTTCAAGGCTAATTTAGCTATTACTAAATTCATCTAGGCTTTGTTGTAGAGTGATGGTCTGTGTAATGTAAACTTAGCAAGCTTAGATTGAGTGAGTGTGGAAATAAAGGTTTTTTATTTTATTTTTGCTGCCTGTGACATTTCTCAGAGATGTTAAAATGATGATTGAGAGTTTGTTTCTCAAATGAGTGGATGGTAGTATAGAAGCACTGCGACTGGGTTTGAATATCTCTATAGTTGTATTTGAGGCTCTGTTCTGCTGGTATTCACCAGATTTGAGAAGCTGCCTTTGTAGTTTATAAGTTGGGAACCTGTTTTGTTTATTGATCTTGAATTGTAAATTACAACCAAGAACACATGAACGAACCTTATCAAAGAACCAAAAGTATCCAGGAAGTTTGTTGAAATATCTCCCAACTCTTCCAAAGCAAGAAACTTCCCACAATTTACTCAATGCCCAAAACTAGCTCTTTATTTGTGTGATGTTTATTTGACGTGGTTTGCTCATGTGGTGATTGGGGTGATGCACTTTCTTATCAAAACTTATTTTTGGCTGTTTGAAATCTTCTATTTGGGTTCTGAACATTGTATAGCTTTGCAAAAATGTCGATAATGAAATAAAGTTTGAAGATCAAAACTCCTTAATGATCTTGCAGGAGTCGTACTTTTCCTCGGCTTCATAATTGACAGGATGCATCATTACCTGAGAAAGCTAATCAATTTAAGAAGCAACGTCGGGTCATCGAAAGAAGAACTTGAACAGCTTCAGAAAGAGAGAACGGAACTGAAGGAGAAAGAGGAGAAAGCGTCCAAGGAAATCAAGCAGCTGCAAGAAAAACTATCATCTATTTCAGAGAGACTTAAGAAAGCAGAGAATGAGTCGAAAGAGAAAGAGAAGAAGCTCGAAACCGCTGAAACCCATGTCACGGCTCTCCAAAAACAGTCTGCAGAGCTGCTTCTGGAGTATGATAGATTGCTTGAAGACAACCAAAATCTCCAAACTCAAATTTTGGGGAAAACAAAGAGATAGTGTAAGAATTGTTGGGTTTGTCATTTAACAAGGTTTTTTTTTTTGGGAGTGTTGTTAACAAATTTTGTGGGATTCTTGTTTTTAGTATATGGATGGATGTTGAATGTCTTCTCTGAAACTTGGTTCTTGTTATCTATCGACTCTTAGGAATGTGTTTGTTGACAGTTATATCAAAATCCATATTTAGTATGACAAAGAACGAAAGCTGCAAAGATCAAAAATATCATGTTCATGGAGATTAAAAATACTGAAATCGAACGCCGTCTGTGGGGATCGAACCCACGGCCACGGGATTAAAAGTCACGCGCTCTACCACTGAGCTAAGACGGCTTGTGTTGATTATGGGATTCTGTTATTGTATCTATTCTAACTCTTGAGCCATTATCTCTGTGTCCACCTTCAATCACTTCTCAAAGATGATTTACCAAAGAGAAACAGAGTTTGTTTCTCACCTTATTGTTAACCCTTTGCTTCTACCAGGTTCATTAAGAGAAGCTCAAAACTCTTTCTTTTTTTCTCATTCCAACATTGCTTTTCAGTCTTTCAATTCTCTGTGCTAAAAAGGTTACAAGTGCTTAATCTCAAAACTCTATACCTACTTTTGTCTTTTGAGATACAGATGAAAAAGAAAAGAGACAATGCAAAGTCAGATGCAGGATCTTTCTGACAATCATTCACCTAAGCTTGAAGCAACTAGCAAATCTACCCACGTTTAGATCCCAAAGACAGGAGTATCTTCTTCCTAGGGCCCTGAAAAAAGAACACACCTTGTAAAGAACACAGAAAATGGATGTCAAACAGACAACTATGACGGCATTATCTAATGAATATGAATGGAGCAAAACAAAGGCAATGACTATTCGTAAGGTAAGCTGAAATTAAGCACGGGGGAAAAACTAATTTTGTGGCAGCTTATCATGGATATTTTACCATTGGTATGAGAAGAGCTTTGAGGTCATCATCTGTCATATGCATTAGAGCATCCATATCAACCTGAAAAGATGGAAACAAATGAGAAGAGAACGCATGAGTTAATCTTTAACAGTAAATATGCTGATTTTACATACTTCTTCCACTTGAAATGCGGTGGAATATTTCTCGAGACCCAATGATTCCAGGAAGCTATCAACAGACGTATCAGCCTGAACCAATAAATAACAAACTGAGAACTAGTGCTGCTAAAACAGCCATTCAGTCGAAGAGGTATTGAAAAGCTACAAGGCACAAAATACTGATGGAGAACTATATAGTTGGAGAAAATGAATTATATATAATTGCCTGCTGTGATTTCTTCTTGGTAGCTTTGTTCGAAGCTGTCCTGGTCTCAGATTTGGTTTCACCTGAAACCTTCTTTATGCCTGGTCTAGCAGCCTCCGTTCTAGATTTTGGTGGGTTACTGATCCTTGGTTGTGAATTCATCGTCCCAGATAGCTTATCCCGTAGATCCGGCACGCTCAACTTAGCTCCAAGTCGACTTTGCAAGCCATGATGTTTCTTTTGGAGCTTCAAGCGGAGATCTTTCGGGTCAACTCTGCGATCTTGGTAGTCAATAACCACAGAGTCAACAAACAAACAGAGATACTTTTGCAGCATTGAATGACTGTAAAAGTAAATTTAATCAAGCAAGGAAAAGTCGGAGCTAAAACATACTTGATATTCGAGGCATGTCATCATCGAAAAGATCATGCTGCCACTTATCGTCATCCTGTCTTTCCCTGAAAGCATTAGGTAGTACGTTCATCAGATTTGGTTTCCAACCTTATGCTAGAAGAAGGTAAAAACACAATGGAGGGGAAGTGTAACTTTCAATTTAGACTACAGAGAGAGAAAGATGTAAATCAATAGTATATCACACCATCTCAAATCAAGTGAACTTCTTAAACATCACAAAATCTCCTTACTTAACTATCCTGTTTGAAATAGTTAAAATTAGCAAAAGCAAATGAGTAAATGAGCAAATCAGCGAATCGATTAGTCCTAATACAAGAAACCACAGGGGAGATTCAAAAACAAGAATTCATATAGCTGCGTTATGGCCAATGAAGTAAGAACCTAAAAAGCAGCAACATCAATGGGGAAGAGTAAGAGAAAATAGAACCTCTTCCTCGTGACCTGTCTCCCGCGAGAAGAGATGTCCACAGAACCGCCGTTGAGTCGGTTCTTTACCGTCTTCCTGCTTTCAGCCTCAGCCTCCATTCGATCAGAATACATCTGATTCCTAATCCGATGGAAACAAAAAACAACAACAATTGAAGCTTAAACCCCAGAAATTCACAGTGAATAGATAAAAGGGAGAATAAGAAATAGAACTATCCAGCTCCATAAGCAGCCTCCAAGTTACATACCGAGGATACTGGAAACCCTAATCTCTCTAGCCGGAAATCGCAGAGCTGTAGAGGTGAGATCTCCAACGAAAACGATCCCTCAAGTTCCGATTTCGACTCGTCGACAGGCAGATTCACGATTATAATATCCAAACACAACCGGGTTGAGAATCGGGTCGGATAGTTAAATGATATAATAATATTTTATTGGAAAATTCAATACATAGACTTACGTACATTTGAATCATGGAGCCATAGAAAGCAAACTCTCTCTCTCTTCTCTCACTCCTATTTTTCAGAGAGAGAGAGGCGATTTCCGATTTCCTTCTGAAATCGGAAACTTCACCGGATTAATCCGGTTTTTGTTGTATATATTCCGACTTGATCGGATCTTTCTTCCGTTTTACCGGATAATAAATTCCGACTCGATCGGATCTCTTTTCATCCGTCTATCGAAGTTCTTTTGCTATCTTTGTTAATTGATTTTTCTACTTTTGTGAGTAAAATCCTTCACTAATCTTTAGTGAATTAAAGGATCTCATTATGGTAGAGGAATCATGGGTCTTTATGGTAAAGCAAATGATTTTCGGTTTGTTTCAGATGGTGTCATGCCCTTTCTCCTCCGCAGATGGGTTCCTTATAGAAGGCGGCGGTTTTAAAATCCGGTGGTAAGTGTGGAGATTCATCTTCTTCAATTCTGGTATCATACTCTCTTGGCTGAGATCTTTTGATCTCCTCAAGTCCCCTATTTCAAAAGCCTTGTTTAAGGCGAAAGGTGACGTGTCTTGAATTAGTGATGATCGGTGGTGATGATTTACGAAGAAGTGAAAATTTCCGACCAGAAATACGCACAGGATTTAGTCGGAGGAGTAACTTCGAGCAAGTTTAATGGAGGTACGCTACTCTTGGCAAGCCTAGTTCTTCATAAGGTGGTTCCACGGTGGTTTCCGGTGACGGAGAATTTTCGGCGTTGGATATCACGAAGATAAAGATGAGTCTGCTTGCATGAAACCTTAGGCTTGACACGTGGATAAAGTCTTTCTCTTTAATTAACACGTTTAGTTCTGACGTGTTTATTAATGTTGTATGGGCCTAGTTGAACTAAAATGTACCCCTTTTCTGCTCTTATGGGCTAATGAATGGACGGCAAAAAAAAAAAAAGAATCATGGAGCCATTATTTTTAAACATTACTCTAAACACTCTTATTACGGTATCAGTGTTCATTAGAATCATTAGTCATTACCATCAATTTTTGTATGTAATGAAATGGAAACAATTACTGTAGTTATTATTATTTTTATTTATTAAAGATTTTGTTGTTAATTGTTTATGTATATACAATTTTATCATTTTTGCCATGAACAGAAAAGTCTACGTTTCTTTCGTTGAAAGCACCACTTTTGCCATACAACGTTGGAGAGGAGACCAAAGAAGACATTTTATGTGTTGCCTAGTAGCGAAAGATCAAACTAATTTGTGTTAAGAAAACATTTTAGGAGATAAAAGATGAGTAATTTATGTGTTAATGTGTAGACAACATTTCAGGAAGACAAAGTTCATTGTTCACAAGTTTTCAGCTTCCTTGGAGAGGAGACCAAAGAAAGGATTGGTAATCGCAGATTGCAACTGAAACGCAGCGTTTCGAAGCCGCAAGATATCTGCGTCGTGGTTCGACAGAGACAAAAACTCTGATCCTTGCTCTCCCTTGAATCCACAAAGCTCCATGAACTCGATACCTTCTTTGAATCTCCCAACTCTCTCCTGAAACAAGCGGTTCGTGAGACGGATTCTCCTGTATTTTTCTTCACCTGGATACTTCGCTGCGTTCCTCACAATCATCAGAAGCGTTTCAAATGCCCTCTTCGTCATTCTTGGATCTTCTTCCTATAAACAAAAAAAAAAAAAACAAGATTCCATTTTCTCTCTTGTTTCTTGTTTCTATATTTATCCTCTCTGTTAAATGAAAACGTTTTCTTACGTTGTGGTTACGTCTTAATGATCTTAAGCATTCTCTCATCTCCTCTGCTTTCGAGGCTGGTGGGTTTGGCGACGACATTAATATCCTCTGTAATTTTTTTTTTTTTGATATTATCACATTCTTCATAGTTTTATAATGGTAACAAACGATGGAGGAAGAAATTGACTACCTTAGTGTCAAGTGGAGCAACTTGAGTTGATGTCGAAGTAGATTCAGTTTCCGTTGGCAATCCGAGCCTCTGCTTTCTCTCCAGCTATATACATACATTTAATCCAAAAATTATTAATAGAGATCATCAATTTTCAATTAAAGAGTGTACAAAAATATCAAGATTCATCACCTTGTCTGCATTTACTTTCTGCATAATTCTCTCACTTGCTTTCTTCTCCTCATCTTTCTCAGCTTTCCTCAAAGATAGGTTCCTGTTTAACAGTATACAACATTGTTTAGTTGAATTCAAATGGAGAATGTGAGAAACCAACTCTATCTCTCATACCGTTTTCTTTCGTTTTCTTCTGCAATTCGCTTTGTCTCCATCATCTCTTTACCTGCTCGTATCCTTTCCTGCAAGAGAGATAGAGCTGTTAGTATTCTTGTTGTTCACACTGTCTACTTTATTTAATTCCTTTTTTTACCTTTTCTTTTTCTCTTTCGCGTTTAGTTTCTTCTTCTTCTCTTAACTTACGAGCTCGTTCCCTGAGAATACATAAACAAGTCACGTGTCCTTGTGGAGGATGAAGCTTAAGAATGCATATATGTTAAAATGGGAGACTCAACGAACTTTAGTTCCTTTGCTCTTGCCTGAGCAGTTTCTGCAGTATCATCAGATGGTTTTGGAGACTCTATCTCAATGTTAAATTCCACCTAAGAAAGACAACCCTCGATCAATGTTTCCATGGAATCTATGAAAAATAAATAGAGATAAATACATACCAAAGGCATTTTATCAAACTGAGAGTCGTTCTCATGGTCTATGATCCAATTCACGGCTGTTTCAAGGCTAGAGTTACCTGGAGATAAAAAGAGAGATCAAAACATGAGTGATCCATGACATGAATCAGGGGTTGTGTTTCAAGTGGTTCATATATATATATACCAGAGTGATGTAAAGCCCAGGCTGCTTTGGCCATCGAGAATCCCATATCTTCAAGCTCCTTAAGTAGTCCACGATTAACCTCAACTGCATCATTTGCTTTTCACCAAGAAACCCATCAAGAATTACTTTACTTATGCACAAAAAAACAGACCTATGGTATGGTTTGATATTGTAACAGAGAAGAAATATTATTTTTACCGGTTTCTGCTAGCATCTTCAAGAAAGAAAATCTGAGAGAATTCCTGATCTCTGTATTGGTGAGAGAAACAGATGCAAGAATGGTATAATGGTGTTTGTATAGGATTATTCAACATATAGACTAGATTCTTTAACTGATATATTGTAATACAGACAACATCTTCCTTTGGTACTTCCGTTTTCTTAAAGTTTGCAACTTTTGATTCTATTCAAATCTTGTAATAGAAGAAACACATCTTATTGTTCTTTTCTTGCATGCAGAGATACATGAGACATTTATTCTTATAGAAATAAAAATCTGAGTATTACTGATGATACATTCGCCATAAAAACTCAATAATTTATATGTTATAAATATTAACCAAAACCGCCATCTTGATGCAACATAGCATCGATTTGATCTCCATCCTTGATCTCCAGCTACCAAACACAGTAAAACAATCATTTCATGAATGACTTAGTTATGTGTATATATATATATATACGATAAGAATCTCAATGCATGCATACCTCATCAGGTGTACTTTCCTCACGAATCCTTGACCCATCCTCCAATAAGAAGACATATGTGTTATACTCCACGCCTCTCACTTCGCTGTAACAATTCATCACTTTACGCATCGCAGCGTTCCTTCTCATCCTAAAGACTCTAAGTTCCTTCTCGTCCTATATATCCACATATAAAATATGTATGTTATTTAGTCATATTAATGTAGCTGATGATGTAAATATTCAGTTACCAATTAAATCGTACCTGACCCTTCACTTTCAGAGTAACATGAGTGGACGCCGATCCAACTTTAGCATTTTTCTCCACCTCATTGCTTTTGCTCATTGTCGACATTACCTCAATCGATCAGATCCTTGAGTTATGATGTACTGATAATGTAGATATTAGATAGATTAACCTTGTGCTTCATTTTTATACAAGCAACGTAGTGAAGATGAAAGATGGATGGAGAATATGCATTTAATTGTAGAGTGGACCCATCAGTTTATGATCGTTTAACTAGTCAGCGCATGTACATCAAAGGATCAAGAAGGGATTTATGGCACAGTTTTTGAAACAAAAGAATTTAATACTGAAGAGACAGTATCATCCCGACGAACCTGAAGAGACGATATCATCCCGAAATGGAACATCCTGATTGATCGAAAATTATAATTTTCGAATTAAAAAAAATGAAAAACTAAAATCAAAAAAAATATTATTATATTCTGGTGAACCTCTCCCATTTGAGATTCTAATGATTATTTTATTAATTGTTTCCAGTAAAAATAAAGTTAACATACTCTTGTTTTTTTCCTCTTCCATTAGAAAACCTATAACTGGGTTCGACTAAGCTATAGATTTGACTAAACTTTAATTTTTTTCCCCAAATTTTAAAAACCCTAATTTTGACTAAGCTTGAAACAACGATGAATCCAAAGCAAAAATTAAAGAATTACTCTAACCTGGGCAGATGAGGTGATCGTCGACTGTAAGTGATGGCTGTCGTAAGTATGTGTTCGCTGACGAAGAGAATCGTCGAGATGAAAGAAGAGCAAATATCGGGGAAGAGGAGAGAAAGTTTCGGGGTAGATAAAGTGTTGGGGAAAAAATATGGAGAAACAAAAATTCCATTTTCTTATTAAATTACACAATTCCTCAAACCAATCAAAATTGTCCACGTCGATTAACATACGGGTTTTACAGATTGCAATATAACATACAAATTGATAAGATTTGGATCATTTTCATTTTTTTTTAATATTTTTTCCCAAGGTTTCTGGACCGAAAATCCTCCATCAACTCTTGATGGAGGTGCTTTAAATGTATAGACTTTAACTACTAAACAATTTATTATGACTCTAAACCAATAGTAATTTAAATGAATCAATTATATTCGATAAATGCTTATTACGAATTTTATTAAAACAATGCATAGAAAATTGAGAACATCCATTTTTTGAAACAATTAATTATTTCTAATAAAAAATAAAAAAAAAATAACAGAGGGAGTACCAATTGTTAAGAAGAAGACCCAATCGACACTTTAATAGCCCGTTGATTAATTATATAACTCGCAAGTCATCAACTAATCCTATTCTTGCAGGGTAGAAAATCCTTCGTTGATACATCATGTGTGACTCTTCCAAGTACAAACCTAACTCTACTTCTGTGTGGAAAAAAATTGCCACGATGCACCAATTCCTACAACTAATACAATTATGGAGAGAGATGTAGAAGACAATTAGACCAATGATCCAATCCAACTTGTCCAGTAAACGTGATCTGACAAAACATGAAATGAGGATAAGATATTCCAAAGAAATCATTGATCCAACTAAGTGTTGGAAGAGAGAGAGAGAGAGAGAGAGAGAGAGAGAGAGAGAGAGAGAGAGAGAGAGTACCAGCAAGAGAGAGAGAGAGAGAGAGAGTACCAGCAAGAGAGAGAGAGAGAGAGAGTACCAGCAAGAGAGAGAGAGAGAGAGAGAGAGAGAGAGAGAGAGAGAGAGAGAGAGTACCAGCAAGAGAGAGAGATAGAGAGAGAGAGAGAGTACCAGCAACGCTGAGCAATATAGGCGGCCTGTGAAAATTGAATCTGAGCTACGCTCATGGCACGTCGAACGAATAATAACATGTAGGGTTCTTTGATCAAGGGAAAGAGATGACGAAGTGAAACACGAAAAGTAGTTTGGACACGAAACGGCGTCGCATATTGGAGAAATAACATCTAGGGTTCTTTAATAAGCAAGATATCATGTTGATTCTTAGTAAAACGAAAAGATATAGTATATTCAAGTGAAAGGTGAAGCCAGAGACGCAGAGGCCTTCGGGGCTTCAACAAATTTTGTATCAAAAATGTGTTGAATCAAGAAGCAGCCCATCGTCTTCTCCTTTTAAACTAACTGGTTTGACTAACCCTTTTAAACCAAAATTCGTTTCTAATGGATTACAAATCTCAAACCAACATCTATAAATGCAATGCATGAAAAGTTCAATTAAAAAAAAAGAAAAAAAAACATCCACAAATGCAAGGCAAACATTGTTTTTCCTCTATATCAAACAAATTACATTTAATCAGATCCAACTATGAAATCCGAAAATTAGAACTCGGGCATGTATGTTCCTTTTGCTTATTTTGTCGAAACTCTCTAATTGAACATAAACTTTACTTGACTTTTGCAAGAAGTTATCTGCTAACTAAAAAAACACCACGTGATATTAATGTTGTGAATGTGATTTATGAGTTTATGCAATGGACCTTTTCATATATGATTTAGACCTATACTCCTTGTTTTAAAGTTTAAATCTAGGCCCATGATATTTGTACGTCAATTTAGGCCCATTAATATAAAGAGAAAATCAAAGAGATTAAGAAAAATTTCAAAGAGATTAAGCTACACTAACAACATTTCTTTTATGAGAACAAATTTGATTTTATGAAAAGAATTTTTTTTTTCAAATAGATTAAGAATATCAATATGATATGTGTACACTAACAACATAATTTCGAATTATGCAAAATGTAATCCAAATTTATTGAACCTAACAAAACAACTATACAATAAATTTCAGAAACAAAAAGAGAGAAGACTTTTTCTAGTCAATATACTAAATATTTTCTCAACCACTTGCGGTGAGATGAAGTCGAACTCTCGTGCTCCAAAGATCTTACAAAAGTGCAGGAAACAAAAGAAGTATAACAATAAAGAATGAAAAATTAACAAATAGAATTCGATTGGTGACCACATAATATAAAGGAAAATTTTCTTTAGAAAATAAGATTTGAGAATAGTAAATTATTTTTTTATATTCTCCGTAGAAAAGGTTTTAGAATTACATATACAGTAAAAGATTACTGACTGTTTGTAGTACATTGAATATTACTAACATATTAGACTCTAGTTTAAAAATATGAGAGTGTTTCCATCCAATATTTTTTAAAGGGTATCTAAACAATAAAATAATAAAAAATATTAAATTTAGAAGTTAGAAACAGTTTTTGTTTAATAGTTTAAGAAACTTTGGGGTAAGGTTTAAAACCTCTCATGCCATTTGTCACTTTTTATTGGTTTGTTTTTAATTTTAAAATTTAATTTAATTATATATGTTAAAAAGAATTAATTTAATTATATAAATATACTATGATAAAATATTAATATTTAATTATTTAGATATCCAAAAGAGATTATAAATCGATAATGAGTACATTGACTTTTCTAAAAACAATTTGGCGTTTTTTTGTTTTCTTCCGTTTAAACATTATAATTTTTTACTGTTTTTAACTAATTTATTTTAGTTGCGCTTTTAATGTTTTGTTAACATATGAATTATATACTCAAACGAAATAAATAACAAACTTTTGAGGAATTTTTAGCTGAAATTAGAAAATTTTGAATAAACTTGGTATGATTTTTTTCTATAAGTTTCATGAGTTTTAACAAAAGAAGTCTTGATAAAAGTAACATGTTAAAGTACACAACTAAATATTATCATAGACTTGGAGAAAAATCAATTAGAGCGAATGCAGATTTATAGGCTTTGAACGATATGTCGATATCATCATTAGTCATTACTGAGTCACTGACTATTGACTTCGAAAATTTAATTATCTTTATTGACATCATAATTAAGAAACTGATTATCTAAGAAATTAGTTAAGTCAATAACGATGGACAGAGGAATTAACAATGCAGTTGACAGAGTTAAGTAGGAGTGTAGGAGTGAGATATAAATCTAAAAAGCGAATATTGAAATATCCAAAAATAAAGAATGGGTTAATATGTTACTCTTATTAGTAAATAGATAATAATTGCACAATTAAGGAGAAAATCGCGAGAAAAGAGGATGCACGACACTAGAAACTAGAAAGCGTGCTTCGCAATGGTCTTTTCTTTTTTACACAAAAAGCCCATTTCTCTCTCTCTCAGTCTCTTCCCCATTAATAGAGATGCAGAGATTATATAAATATTGACCAGTGTCCTGGAGAGAGAAACTCGCCGCTCGCTTTTACTCCTTTTTTCTTATATTTTTTTTTTTTTGTTAATGAAGGTAGCAGTAAGCATTGAGCACATATCTCGAGCCACAAAGGTCAGTGAGAAACTGCTCTTATATATAAATAAGCTCCTTGTCTTCCATTTCCAGGCGTGCATGTAACAGTGGTGTTGATTTTTTTTTTACTTTTCATTTTCTGGACAACGGCTAGTTCTTCGGAGTAGAAAGTGGAAGAAGATCTATGGATTACGGAGACGATCGGTAGATTTTCTTCTTCCTCTTTTTTTTTTGCTGCTGCTTATTCATCTCGATTTTGGTGCTTTTGATTGTCTTGTATTCCTGGGTTTTTTTTCTTTTTTCGAGAGGGGTCTATGATTTGGTTTTGTGTGTGTTCATTTTGTGATGATTAATTTGTTTAGATTGTTTCGCATTCTTTGATTTTGTGTTTTTTTTTTTAATCTTTGTTAGTGTAAAATAGAGTCACACTGTTCCGATTCGCCTGCTCCGTTGTCTGGGTTTTACTGAAATCGTTGTGTTCCGCTTAGATTTGGTGCTGATTTCTCGCTCATTGCTGGTTTTGGGTTTGATTGATTTCTGGGTTTAATGTGAGGAGAAAAATGTCGGATTCTCTGTAAATGTGATTCAAGAATAATGTTGGGATTTTGCAGTAGCCATTCATGGAATTGGCAAGTGGAGAACTGTGATCACCAACCACAGTCTAATTTCTGTAAGTTTTTTTTAGCATCATCTTCAACTCTTACAACACTGTGACAAGCATCACTGAGTTGTTTCTCTTAACTCTAGCGGATGTGCCGGAGTGCACAATGACTGAAGTCGCACTAAACCAAGAAGACCACTCGTACATGTTTGATGATGAATCCACTCCAGTGAAGGCGTGTACTGACTTGGGTTATCATGTCACAACAGGTTGTGCTTTTTTTGTTTTTTTAAAGTTATCATTTCGATTCCTGTTGTCTTCTTAATGATGGTTTCTAATCTAAAGAGTGTGGCTTCAGATGAAACGATCAAGAAACTGGAAGTTCAAAGTGAGACACGTTCTGCTGTAAAGAGGCGTCGGATGTTACAATTCGAAGACCAGCCCATGGATCTTTTCAGCAGTGAGAGTTTCTCTTCAATATTAAAATCAAGCGTGAGTTCACAAAACCCATTAATAGTCTTTAGCTATGCACTTAATTTCCACGGACGCCTTCTCATTGCTCCCTTATTAGGATGCGGACCTAGTTGCTGGCATCACTTAAAAGTATTTACCTATATATAGATTTTGAGCAGTCACCAATATCAGAGATCTCTTAAAACTTCTAGATCATTGAGTGCATCGTATTATCCCACCGTAAATAGACTCTGCGATGTGAATGCTTGTTCATTTCAAATTTTTGCAAAGCAGGATTCGGTTTTGTTTAATAGAGTTTTTGTCTTCTACTCGTATAACAAATTCAAGCTACTTGGTAATGGTATCTGACTGTCTCATTCAAATGTTAGGTACTTGTCATCGCTAATTATGTTACTAAAGCATCATCTGATAGCTTAGAAGATTGCATGAGGTTCTAGTACTATCTTTGATGCCCTGATTGATATTTCTTCTACGAATGTTCAGGCTAGAGAGGAGGCATTTGATGAGCTTTTACCTGAGGGATCTCAGCTTATAGAAGGGTTTTCAGGTTGAGCTCTTATAAATTCTTCCAAGTCAATCTGGCCAATGCGTTTTCAATTCAAACCAAACATTGTCTCTTTTTCAGAAGATGCTTCTGCCTCGAGCTTCGAGGGCATTGATCTGTATGCTGAAGAGTGGTACGCTGATTGCTTAAATGATTCTGAGACTCCAACTTTACCTGATGACTTGTAAGTTTCGATCTTTCTTTATTTGCTGATTTTCGGTTTAGTATCCTTTTCTGCTTCATTAACCGATTACTATTGTTGTTTTCTCTCAGGAGCTTTGGTTCCGCTGATGTCCAAGTAGATATTTCAGGTCAGATTTCTTTGTTTTGGTCTCTTCCTTACCTTGCTCTAGCTCTGACTTTTCTTGCTAAACTCGCTGTCTTTGCGCAGAGTATTTAAATGTGCCACCAGAAACAGAAACCAGGGAAGTTAAGCGGCCTATCACTCGATCTTCTCCAAATGTTATCTTTAAAGGTAAAATAAACAGTTGAGTCACAAATGAGTCTCATAGTCACACACTGATGTAGCGACAAAAAATGAGTATACAAACAAAACATCATTATAATGTTAAGTGATGAAATAGCAGGTAGGAAATCTTTTGCAAGGCCGGTCCCAAAGCTACCATCTTCTATCATCTATCCATTTGCGTTCATCAAACCATGTGGGGTTCACGGCGACGTGACTCTTAAGGACATAAACCAGAAAATCCGAACTCCACCAGCAAAACCAAAGGAAGACAAAGCAGAGCTTGCAGTGATCCAAACTTCAGCATTCTCTGGGAAACCCGTTGTAGGAAAGACTAAAATCCGCACAGAAGGAGGAAAAGGAAGCATCACGATAATGAGGACGAAAGGATAAGCTTAGTTAAATTAAGTAGAAGTATTTAAGTTTTTAAACTTCAAACATTTGCCTTATGCTCATAGGCCCTTAAAATCTTTTTACCGGATATAGTTCCTGTCAAGGGCCTTTAAATCAGTACAGCGGCTAATATACTCTTCAAGATCTTATTTTGAATCATGTTCTTGTTTCGTTTTCTTATCTGTAGTAAGAGAACTTAAGGATCTGTATCCATGTGGTAGGATATTTTTTGTTTGTATAAAGTCCATGGTTCTTAATGTTAGCTGAAACATTGAAAGCCAAAACTCTGTTATGTCTCTTGAGTCTTTGGTTGGATTGCTATATACAGTAGACGAAGAAGCAATTCTGGTTTCTTTTCTATTCGTTTCCTTTAAATTCAGTGTTACCAGAAGTTGAAGCGAAACGTTGCGTTTTATAATCAAGAAGAGAGTTTCAACGAATATGATTAATTTGGTTATTTGGGCCTGGCCCAAACATTTTTGATAGGATTCAATTTTTTCCCATTTCAGTTTGTCTGATGCTTAAAATTTAGAGATTTTTTATCGGAGATGGTTTCGCTCTCCACCTCCACGAGCCACGTGCACCCACTCCCGTCGGCGTATGTCCGCCGGCCGGCGGAGAGAACAGTGACGGTGCGATGTGTCTCCATTCCCCCTCGCGAGCCCAAACATATAATTCCTTCGGGTAAGAGCAATAGCTCTTCCTCCTTGGAGCTTAGAGAGAGGCAGAGAAAATGGCTGATGACTACGGAGGACGTGAAGGAGAGAGATTCCAAGGAGAGTAAGGAGTATATGAATACTAAGATCGCGTCGAGAAAGGCTATATCGATAATACTGCGAAGAGAAGCGACAAAGGCGATTATCGAGAAGAAGAATGGACCTACCAACTCGAAGAAGCTGCTTCCAAGGACAGTGCTTGAGTCTCTTCACGAAAGAATCACAGCTCTCCGTTGGGAATCTGCTCTTCAGGTATATTTCGTCTGCTCTGCAACTATCTCTAATTTTTTTTTATTTTTTTTGTTAATTTTGGCTTTGCTTCTGTGGTTGTTAAGAAATTTGATTTTATATCTCTTAATTGAACTTAGTATATCTTTGTTTAGCTGATTCTGTCTTTAAATTGCTGTTTAGGATGGAAAATTAATGGTTTAGGGTGAAGAGTAATGGCGAAAGTTTCCTGTTTTATATGTCTTGAGCAAAGTGTTGTGCTTGTCCCTGTAATTACAAGATTAGTGTTGGTGTATATCTGTGTAGGTGTTTGAACTATTGCGTGAACAGCTATGGTACAAACCAAACGTTGGCATCTATGTAAAGCTCATTATCATGCTTGGGAAATGCAAACAGCCGGAAAAGGCTCATGAACTCTTTGAGGCGATGATCAGTGAAGGCTGTGTGGTGAATCACGAAGTGTACACCGCACTTGTATCTGCTTATAGCAGGAGTGGCCGATTCGATGATGCATTCACACTCTTGGAACGTATGAAAAGTAGCCATAACTGTCAGCCGGATGTGCACACGTATTCCATCCTCATTAAGTCGTTTCTTCAGGTTTTTGCCTTTGATAAGGTTCAGGATCTGCTTTCTGATATGAGAAGACAGGGTATTAGGCCCAATACAATCACATATAATACCCTCATCGATGCGTATGGGAAAGCCAAAATGTTTGTGGAGATGGAATCAACACTTATCCAAATGCTTGGAGAGGAAGATTGCAAGCCTGATTCTTGGACCATGAACTCAACCCTTAGAGCCTTTGGGGGAACCGGACAGATAGAAATGATGGAGAATTGTTATGACAAGTTTCAGAGCTCTGGGATCGAACCCAACATCAGAACATTCAATATCCTCCTTGATTCATATGGGAAAACAGGAAACTACAAGAAGATGAGTGCTGTGATGGAATTCATGCAGAAGTATCACTATTCATGGACCATAATCACCTACAATGTGGTCATTGACGCGTTCGGGAGGGCAGGAGACTTGAAACAAATGGAATACTTATTTAGGCTAATGCAATCAGAGAGGATTAAACCAAGCTGTGTCACACTGTGTTCTCTTGTTCGTGCCTATGGAAGAGCTGGAAAAGCGGAGAAAATTGGAGGAGTCTTGCGTTTCATTGAGAACTCTGACATAAGGCTAGACCTTGTGTTCTTTAACTGCCTGGTAGATGCCTACGGGAGGATGGAAAAATTTGCAGAGATGAAAGGTGTTCTCGAAATCATGGAGAAGAAGGGATTTAAACCTGATAAGATTACATACAGGACAATGGTTAAAGCATACAGAATTAGTGGCATGACTAGCCATGTAAAGGAACTTCATGGTATGGTCGAGTCCGTTGGTGAAGCCCAAGTTGTATTGAAGAAGCCGGATTTTTAGCAGAGGAATAGAGCTCAATTTTCTGTTGTATGTACATATATATATATATATATATATATCTTGTATCCATCTCATTGTTTTAATGAAAAAGGTAGTTACATTTTCAGTTCGCTTACAAAACTTTGTAACACAAAAACAAAAAGCAAGAAATTGATACAAGTTTAGTTCTTTACTCGAATTTGTGTTATATGTCATCAGTCTGTATGTGCTGAAGCAGCTAGATATGAGAGTTGAAGGCTGTACGCTTCTTTCAGCTGAGTCAAAACTTCTGCTATAGACGGTCTGCCAGATGCATCTCTGGCCACACATCTTATAGCAACCGAAGCAGCTTTTCTCATGCTCTCTGGATCAAACGTATCCTTCAAGATATCATCCACAATCTCAAATGCTCCTGCTTGTAAGTTTGGCCTAGCCTGCATTTAAAGTATTTCGGACCTTTATTACATTATGAACTCAGATACTGGGAGATGAGAAAACAAAGACAACAATCATGTTTCTCTCACCCATAAGACCAAGTTAAAAGAATCTGGTGATCCTAAGTGACTTAAGGGTTCTCTTCCACATATGAGCTCCAACAGAACCACACCAAAGCTATAGACATCACTTTTCTCTGTCAGCTGCAGGGTGGAATAATATCTGGAATAAAAAAGTGTGATTATTGATTAGCTAATGAAGCTTTTAATCCATCACGAACGCTGGTAGAAATTACAAAAGAGTTTACTCTGGGTCAAGGTAGCCTGCAGTGCCTTTAACAACAGTAGTAACATGAGATGCATCTGTTTTTGTAAACTGTTTTGACAGGCCAAAGTCAGAAATTTTTGCGTTCATATCCTTGTCCAGAAGTATGTTACTACACTTTACATCCCGATGTATAATTCTTGGCTCACTTCCATTGTGCAGGTAGTCCAATCCTTCATGGATAAGATAAAATGTTACTATCTGCTAGAATCAAATGTGTTTTAGTATATTAATACTAACACCAATGACAGATGTTGAAGAAGTACCTTTTGCAGCATCAACTGCAACTTTTAATCTTGAAACCCAGTTCAATGAAAGCTTTTTGCTACTTGGACCTGCAGAAGCAAGATAGCACAAGATGCTATTGATATGTAGGAAGATGACTCTGAAAAAGTGCTAGAAACTTGGGAATTTGCATACCGTAAAGGTGATCAGCTAATGAGCCACCAGGCAGATACTCATAAACCAGTATTTGCCGTTTTGGTTCATAGCAGAAACCCTCAAAGGAGACTAGATTTTGGTGGCGGATTTGAGACAAAAGGTGCACCTAGAGTGTAGAGAGGTAGACTTAGAGATCTCAGCACTTGGATCACTAAAGATGAATGCATCCTTTGAATGCATGACATTTAAATATGAACAATAATTTTTGGAGAATGATGTGGGAAGTTAACCTCGTTGATGAAAGAATCAGCTCCAAGTTGAGTTCTATCAAGTCTCACTTTGACTGCAACTTGTTTTCCATCTGGTAGTTTTCCACGGTATACAGATCCAAAGCTTCCACGGCCAATCACCTCCTTGAAATTCCTTGTAGCTAACTTGATCTCTTTGTGAGAAAAGATTCTTGAAGTATTCCAGTTCTGCATCTTTAGTTCTTCTCCTGATCCAGATTTTGATATAACATAAGAATCATAAAACCACAACTTTGTGGGGGCAAAGGGAAAGCATTGTTCTCATACTGGTTATATCTCTTTCTTTGTTTCTCTGTCTCCTCGTTAAGATTGACATGAAAACAAAGATGATGATAGTGGCAAACAAGGCTCCACCAGAAACTCCAAGCAAGATTGCTATACGGTTCTGCTTTTTGTGTTTCTTATTGAGAGGGATAGTGACTTGTGGTGTGTCAATTGTTGAAGACACGTTGTTACACGATAATGAAGAGAAAGAAAGGCATGGATTCCCCGTTGTTCTGATAGACAGCAATTCAGTAACCGAACATGATCAGAATATTGTAGTAAATGCCGAGACAGATATCGAATACCTGACTTCTAGACCTGTTCTGTTAAGAGACTGTGGCAATGGGCCTACTAAGTTATTGTTTTCCAGATTCCTGAGCAGAAGTAAAGAAAGATCCTCCTTTGTGTGAGGTGGAGAGTGAATATGGTTTGTGAAATTAACTTCTTTTCTATACATGTTTACTTACAGGAGACGAAGTGTCTTTAGCTTTCCTAAAGTTTCAGGAACTGAACCTTGTAAGCTGTTGTTTTGCAGGTCCCTTCAAAGAGAGGAGACTTGCTTTTCAAGTTTCGGAAAAGAACAAACACATATCCAGATAATCTCAGTATGAGATACACTTACAGAACTTCAAGGTTAACCAGATCTTCCAGTTCGGAGCCGAAAGCTTTTAATTGGTTGAAACTCAAATTCCTGAAGAAACCGTTAAAAAGCATTTTTTTTCATACTAAAAGAAATTTTTAAAGAACATATATTATCAGTGTTCTAGGAATGAGTATTACAGTTGCTTGAGATGTTGAAGGCTGCCTACATTCTGTATTGCTCCAGTAAGTGATGTATTATGCAAGTCCCTGCAGAGCAACACCCAAGATAATAACGCACATGTATACAAGACAAGCTAGAAGTGTTGAAGATTTGCTGACTTACAGTGTCTTGAGATCAAGCAAGTCTCCAAATGTTGGACTAATGGACCTCAGGTTTATTTGTGAAAGAAACCTGAGATGAGACAAAGAAATGTGAGATGAGTCAAGTAAATGTGAAAATCAATAAGGATTTTCTTACAATGATGTAACGTGGCTTCCTTCACATTCAATGTGTTTCCAAGGAAGCGGAGTACATGGATCTTCTTGCCATCCAAGGTCTTTCCCGGTAAATTGCTCAATGACTTTAAGTGCTGAAACTGCAAAGATCATAACTTATAAAG